TAAAGCAGTGTTTCCCAACCTTTTTTTTAGTCGCGGCACCCTTTGGAAATTTTAACAAACTTGTGGCACCCTACAAAATTAATTTTGTCACAATATTTGAATTTCTAACTTCGATATGATAATTTGAAAAGTATAGATATTCGGTACAACAGGGAAGAACTGCAGAATATAATGTCATACAGATATTTTTAATATTATTAAAAAATTTTGTCCATCAATGGTGGCAATCAGTAGGCTAATTTCTAATGAAGAGACCAATTTATATGACAGATTTTAATGTAGGCTTTTATACATATGTAAACATTATTTAATTACCATTATAACTAGCTATCTCACAAATTTTTGCTCACTCAGTGTTTTTTTTTATTTTACAGTGGGGTAATTTTGGTGCAGTAGCACGAGATAGCTTGATTTCAAACTTTGAATTGAATAAAAAATGACAAGTAAGCAGTCAGTTATAAAATAAGAACAAATAAAGAAATGAATAATAATAGCACAAATAAAAATTAACGACAGGCCTTCGAATTAAATAAATTGTTTTTTAGTTTTTCAGGTAGGTCTAACAGTAGGGTTAAGATATTTAACTTTTTTTTTTTTTACCAATTATCCAAATAATGTTTAGTCCTAGAAAGCTATTATTATCAGAACACGTGGGCATAACGGTTAGCAGATCAATGAATGAGAGGGCAGCGTTACCAGAGTTGCCCATATACCACACCATGTTACAACACAGTAGGGCTATTGCAGACAGAAACAATACTGTACTACATCGATGTTTGCTGTCGGCTCAATTTTTGAGTGGACTTTGCTGTTCTGATTCGCATGAACGGTATACGAGTGGAGCTGAGCGGAGCACACACGCATAGAGCGGGATAATACACAGAGCGTCACACCACGTGAAAGTGAAACCTGAGCGGTGAACTAATTTTCGGCAGCCGAAATTTCGGTGCATCTCTAATTATTGGCGACATCAGAAATGGATATTATATAATAGATGCTTTTTTGAACATTTTAGCAATTTAAAAATATTAAAAAATGATTTTTTACACGGCACCCCTGTTGGGAAACACTGCTCTAAACAATGTAAAGACATGAAAAAAAATGATGTTTTTCCTAAAAATCTTTTCTCGGGTCTTAAGAGGATAAACAAATGCGAAAACAGAACTCGTTGAAAATAATCAATCTTTTGCTGAGCTTGTATTGTATTATCAGAGCTAATACGTTTTTCCCTTTTACAGTGTTCCCAAGTAGTACTGGGCAGCCATGACTCGCTTTGTTCTGCTTGTGAATCTCATAGTTCTGCCTGTTCACCTTTGGGCTGCAGTCACTCAAGAGCACACTTCATTCCCCACATCAGTCAATGGAGAACCATTCCCATGGAACTTAATGAGACTTCCAGACACAGTATCTCCCCTTCATTACCATCTCCTTATCCACCCCAACCTTACAAGTTTAGACTTTACTGGATGGGTGCAGATCCAAATTGAGGTCCATGAGAACACCAGGACTATCATACTGCACAGCAAGGATCTTCATATCTCCAATGCAAGGTTGCTAGATTCAGACAAAGGTCAGCTACAGGCCCTGAAGGTGCTAGAGTACCCGTACTTCCAGCAGGTTGCGCTTATATCTGATAATGCACTGCTGAAGAGGGGCCATGTATATTCAGTTGAACTGGAGTTTGCCGCCAACCTCTCTGAAAGCTTTCATGGATTTTACAAAAGCACGTACCGCAGCAGCAAAGGAGACGTCAGGTGAGAAACTAAGTAAAAACTCAAGATTTTTAGCCAGTATCTCTTTTTATTATTATTTTGTTTTATAAATAATAATCCCTTCACATTCACAGGGTTGTGGCTTCCACACAGTTTGAGCCGACTAGTGCCCGGGCAGCCTTTCCCTGTTTTGATGAACCTGACTTCAAAGCAAACTTTTCCATATGGATTCGCAGAGAAGCAAAGCATATTGCCCTCTCAAACATGCCTAAGGTGCCGTTACAATATCCATAGAACCTCTATTGATCATTCCTGCTGTTTTCTGACTAAAACCTGAATAAATCTATAATTTGAGTAATCTGCTGTGTGAAGACTGTTTCTTCTGTTAATCCTACTTTTTTTTTTTTTTTACTCCAGCTGAGAACATTAGAGCTGCCAGACGGCCTGTTTGAGGACCAGTTTGATGTGAGTGTAAAGATGAGCACATACCTGGTGGCCTTCATTGTCTCTGACTTTCTGTCTATCAGCAAGACGAGTCTGCATGGAGTCCAGGTTAGAAGATGATCCGTCTCATATCATTAAAACCACAGAGTTAATAACAAAGCCTTTAAGTACTGTAAGATCCCACCTCCATCATTTATTACTTTTTTGACACTCCTCGTTGAATTTTTTTATGTGAATTCAGATTTCAGTGTATGCTGTGCCAGAGAAGATCGACCAGGCAGAGTTTGCTCTGGACGCTGCAGTGAAGCTGCTCGACTTTTATGATGACTACTTTGACATTCCGTACCCTCTACCCAAACAGGGTTAGTTCCACGTAGGCATTTCGTCTACTACTTAAAATGCAAAGGACAGATTTCTGAGTTCACCATTTATATAATCTGCTTTGTAGATCTTGCTGCTATCCCAGACTTCCAGTCTGGAGCGATGGAGAATTGGGGTCTGACCACCTACCGGGAATCAGGCCTTCTTTTTGACCCCCACAAGTCTTCTGCTTCTGACAAGCTGGGAATCACGATGATCATCGCTCATGAACTGGCCCATCAGGTGAACTTATGCCATCAATTAACTGTTTTTTGTGTGTGTGTGTGTGTGTGTGTGTGTGTGTGT